GGGGTTTTATCTTTAGCTTCTAAAGCCCTTTCTTCTCTGCAAAGTCCCTTTGGTGTAGGTTTTCATACTGTGTTCCCATAACACCCTATTCTTCCCCAACGTAGCACTATGCCGATATTTCTGGAATTGCTCTCATTTATGTGCAACTTCTCTAAGCTCTGTGGAAGGAGGGACTATACTTTCATGTTCACCATTGTGCCCCAGTACCAAGTGGGACTTAAATACTTCTTGCACGTTCTTGAAAGGGGATCAGAGGACTGTTATCACACTTCAGAGAACAGACGTTAGAAGGGTATGAAGGGAACACAAAATAGAAAGTCCTACCAATATTCTTTTGTTTCGTCTTATATTTCTTTTTTTTTGGAACTGGGGATCGAACCCTGAGGATATGAGGCAAATGCTTTGCCCCGGAGATACATCCCACCCCCCTACCAATATTCTATATCCAAATTTAACAGAAATTGAATCATCTTTAGCCTTATGAAAGAAGCCCCACCATTAGTGATCTACTCTATTTACTACTTATTCAAGACTGCCCTTTTCTGCTCTTTCTGTTCTAGGCCCAGACCCTCCCCATAACTGCTGGTCTTGCTCCTCTTCAGAAAATATCATTCTTCCTCCTAAATCAGGTAGCAAAGCTGAGGACCAACATGGTAAAGTTCTAAGGGGAAGAAAGAACATGTCCCTGGGGACCATGCAGAGATAAGCGCCTATCTTCTGGCCTAAGTCAACTGAACTGCTCAGATATTTGGGGCTTAGAGAGGCTGGGGTGGCAAAGGGGCGGGGAAGGATGAAGAGACAATAACAGGAAGGGGATGAACATTTGACTCTGTAAAGAAACAAGCAAACAAGTTTCTTTAAAAAAATTATATATATATATATAGTTATAGTTATATATGGACACAATATCTTTATTTTGTTTTATTTATTTTTATGTGGTGCTGAGGATTGAACCCAGTGCCTCACATGTAGGAGGCAAGCACTCTGCCACTGAACAGTATTCTATTGGTGCAAAATGCTCAGATATTTCCTCCTGATAAACCGAAGACAGCATAGCTTACTTAGGAGTTGAAGCCTAGGCCTATATCTTAGCTTTTATTTATACATATCCATAAAGACTGAAATCTCAGTTGAGATCAATCAGGCACACTAGTAATCCCACTCAAGAGGATGAGGTAGGAGGCTTGCAAGATCAAGGCCAGACTTGGCAACTTAGCTAGACCCTCCACAACTTAGTGAGACCCTGTCTCAAAATAAAAAATAAAAAAGGCCTGGGGTTGTAGCTCAGTGGTAAAGCACCCCTGGGTTAGGTCCCCAGTACCAACAACAACAACAATAAAAGACTGAAATCTTTGGTCACTTAGATTTAGACTTATGTCTTTTGTCAAGTCTCCTCCACCTCTTCTTGCTTCCCTAAAATTTCTCCTTTCTGCTCACACTTTCAGCCTTGCTTCTGGTTACTGTTGAAGGCTGAGATGCCTGAGCACCTCCATGTCTCCCTGAGTCTACTCAACTCTAGGCCACTGGGGCAATGCCTACTCCAGCTAGCCCATGCATAGTACTAACATGAGCATCTGGTCACCACTGCACACTTTACCAATCATTAAAATGCAAAACAAAATTTAAAAATTTGCATGCTTTTGAGAGTCTCTGTGTTGCTGCTTTAGCATGAGAGGGCAGACGATGAGCCAGAGAATGTAAACTGTTCCATCACCTTCTACCTGGCAGTAAGAACTTTAGCCAGGAGAGAGAATATTAAAATTAAGTCCCACCTGCCTTTAGAATTGGGTAAATAAAGCCTAATAAAACCATGTTAGTGTCAGAAATGTTAGAAATTTCAAGTTTTATAGGGCCTCTTAGTAGCTATAGTAAAAAAAAAATTACAAAAAATAACTAAGTCTATATTATTTTTATTTATTTATTTTTTTTAAAGAGAGAGTGAGAGAAGGGGGGGGAGAGAGAGAGAGAGAGAGAGAGAGAGAGAGA